AAAAAAAAAAAAAAAAAAAAAAGTAATCTTGCCACATGCAGAGTTCATTTACAATCTATTGAATCCGACAATCTAAATGACATCACTTCCTGCATCTTCCATTTCCATGTTATAAGAAGATAGCAAACTAATCTAAAAAGTTCAATGTGACGACAAATGCATAATAAGATATTTCTGAATATAGGAAAGGCAATAACGTCATTAAACGCACATGTATACAGACAGAATGGAGTCCAATCCTCAAACACAGGACATGATACAGGTGTAAGCTTTGACAGATCCAGTTTATTCTCAAATGATTTAATGATCAAAAGAATATATGGAGCAAGGGAATTATGCAACTGAATTCCAAGAATAAGGTAAAGAAAAAAAAAATTCAAGCCATGTAACTTGAATCTCTAAGACATTGACTGTCAGCACTGAACATCAACTTATCCACCGAAACTCATATGCACTGCATAGAAATAAACAATTTGAAAAATATAATCCTTCCTTCTTTGAACAACATAAAAGGGCATAAAAGTTTGTGAACAACAGACATCATCAAGATCACTCAAACTGGATTGTTTCTTCGTGCATTCTCACATCTATATGACTAGATTTATTTGACATTTTTTTCATCACAGACAAATTTATTTTCTTCTAAATGAAACAGAATCATCATTGTTCAACTTAAAATTGAAAGAGAATCAAAAAGGGAAGTAAAAACCTACATTCATTTTTATAGTTCAAGTCATAGCAAAAGGATGGACTCATCCAGGTTCCAGAGTCATAAAAACTCATATATTCATCATAATCATTTAATCAACACCTCAGATAAATCTCTAATCTCTAATAACCAAACACAAATACCACATTTTCATATACAATTTAGGATTATGACTTCTATAATGGCATGCTCTAAACAAACACATATACCTTAGCATCCAAAAACATAACATCACTTCACAAAAATCAGTTCACCATCCAATAACCAGAAGACCAACAAAAACAGAAAATAAAAGAGCAAAAGGGAAGGAGACAGTAATTTAAGCAATAAACAAAATTCAGCATCACCCAATAAACCTAAGTAATAACAATCTACTGACTTCTAGAGCAGGCTGGCTCTCTTTCTGAGCGCCCCAGGCAGAACCCATGGGCGCGGTGGTGGCGTAGTAATCATCATCGTCATCGTCATCCACGTCCGCCCATGACTTCGCCGTGAGCGGTGCTGGGGCCCAGAACACCTCTTTCTTATCCACATTTTTCTCGGCCTTCTTCGCTTTGCCCTTTGAAGATGAACCCTGGTCCTTGTCAGCAGCTTTCTTCTTCTTCCTCAAGGTCCCCAAAGCAGCAAAAACATTGGTGCTGTTTATCACCAACGGCTCATCCCTCCTGCTCCCTCCTCCCACCATCCTTTTCCAATTCCCAAATAAAGCAGCCCCTGCCCCGTTACTAAAGACAACACAATTAGCCAATCAAAACCCTTACTTTTCCTTTTATATTAAATCTTCCTATCTAAACACTAAATACAACAGTGGTGTGTGCAAAAGAAACAATTTTGAAGCAATCAAAATCAAGGGTATTACGAATTTCGTTCCAAAATTGATAAGAACCCCACGATTTTTGAGATTTCGAGGTTTCCACCCACAGATTTATATCGAGTATCTACAAACAACAAGAAACTTGATAAAAGCACTGATGCTTTTCAAATGATCTAAGAATACAGACCGCAAGTATGAATGTGTCGACAGATTACGATACTCAGAACTCTCGATGAACCAAAAATGCAACCAAAATGGACCCAAAACCCGTTTTGGTTTCTGGGAAAGGAAGAAGAGAGGAGACCCTTCAATGGGAGATGTTAAGTTTCTTTTCTTTTGTTGAAACCCTCCTCTGCTTCTGTTACTCTTTCCTTCTGTTTGGATTCTCTCCTTTCTCCTCTTTTATTATTATACTGAGTGTGTGCGTTTAGGAGACGTGGCGTTGAAAGGGCAAATTGAGAGGAAATGCACGTATACAGAGAAAAGGGGCCAAAAGAAAACGCCTTTCAATTTTCTTCAATGGCAGATTCCGGATAATTCAGGAGGTGACGCTTATTATTAGAACTTCTTAGGGCAAACATACAATGGAGATAGAGATTTTTGCAAAAACTACTCATTAGTCCTTGAACTTTTATGGAAAAAAAATTAAACCTTCTAACTTTTTTTGTTCACATGAGCCCATAATCTTTTCAATTGAGGCAAAACAATAAGAGCACATATGTTGGAGAATATAAAAACTCTGGTGCCACCAGAAGAAGGTGTCTTTAAGTTAAACACAGATGGTTCTTATAACCATAAAATGGCTTCTACGAGTGCTGGTGGTCTGATCAGAGACACAGTAGGACGCTAGATTTCAGGCTTTATTGTCAATATAGGCAGTGCGTCAGTTCTTCTAGCAGAATTGTGGGGATTAAGAGAAGGGCTTCGCCTTTGCAAAGCCATGGATCTCACCCATGTGGTAGCTGAAATGAATTCTATGATTGCTGTCCGATTCATCAATGAAGGCCGGGATCTAGAGAATTTAACTACCAATTTGTTACTAGATATACGAAATTTGATAGCTGAGTTTGAGGTTTGCACTTTACAGCACACATTACGTGAAGGTAACTCTGCAGCTGACTTTTTGGCTGCTTTGGGACACTCCTCTCCACCAGGCACCACCATTTTGGACTCTCCACCAGCGGGACTACACGCTATCCTGATAAGGGATTCTATGGGGGTTAGTTTCCTCCATTACTAGTTTTTTCTTTACTGTTATTTTCTTAGTTACTCACTGATGTACCAAAAAAAATAAAAACTCTGGTGCCATATCATCATATTTAATATTATTTTATATAAATTTATTTTTTATATATTTAATTTTTAAATAAAATATTAATAAAATATCATTTTTAATGCCTATAACAAAATATAACTATTTCAAAAGTCACATCATATTATATTATTTAACTCATATTTTATATATTTAAACTACTATTTTAAAAAATACATGTTAAAGGAAAAAAAGAAATTAAAATTATTTTACATATATATATATATATTAGCTGATCGTGTTGATCCATCCAATGGCTACTATTCAAAAGAAAATTTTCAAACCATTGGATGAATAAGATAGACCAACTAAATCTGACAAAATTAGATCAAATTCAAAAATCTAATCCAATCCATCCATTACTGATAGGGTCATC